CCCCACTGGCTGGGCAGCCGTAAGCGTCCAGAATAGCGGTTTCGAGGGCTTGGGGATGCGGTTGCGGCCTTCGGGAACACATGAGGAGGCAGGCCTGAGCAAACTGGATGTGCCTTGATACAGGCCACGGCGAGAATCGGAGATGGGGGTCCGGCAGGCCCCGGGGAGATACAATGGGCAACACACAGGACGGGCGCCCTGGGTCAACGGTCTCCACTACTCTCCTAGCCCCGGGCCGGGGGCTGGAGGGGAAATCACCTGCTCCGTCGGGCGCCGCCGGCGACTTGTCCCGCGCGGTGTAGCTCTCATCCCCTATCCCACCAACGAGATCAAAGGCGGGGCCCAGAGCGGTTTTCTTCATGAGGCGCAGCTGCGGCCATTTTTGGGAAGGGCAAATTGCCCATAAAAGGGCGGGGCTTCGGTTTTCATTCTCAAATGTCCCAGGGTTTTGGCGCGACTTCCGCGGCGGCCATTTTTGTTGCGGGTAGGGAGGAGCTAGGCTGTTGGTCGGCCAGTGGGTGGAATCTCAGCAGCCAGCACTGTACCCGCGCCTTACTCGTTCTTCTTTTTTTTTTTTTCAAAGAATTATTTTTATTTCAACTTTATTTATTTATTTAATTTGACCAGAGAGGGACAGAGTGAGAAAGAGAGAGAAAGTGAGAAAGCAAGCCGCCAGGTCCGGGACTCAAACCTCAGTCGGCCATGTGAGAGTCCAGCGCCTTTAATCGTCACACCACTGGCCGTCCCCCCCTCCCTTACTCGTTCTTATCCTTCTGATCCCCAGAACCTTCCAACTCCACTTAAGTGTCTTCATTTGCTTTATTTACTTGGCCCTCAAACCCTACAGCTTTCTCCCTCTCCCTCTATGGCTCTCCTGCCTTTCCACAGACCCAGTGGTTCTTTGGTAGCCCTCAGTTCCAGACCTGGTGGCCTTCCCGATCCTCCAGTGTCTCTCCCTGATGCCCCAGTATCTCTCCCCATTCAGGTTCAAGCTGTCACCCAATCAACTTTTAGGTGCTGACTTTCCCACCCTCCATGTCCCCTTTGCATTACTGTGACAGCGATGGGTGTGTTACGGGGCCTGGTCTTTAGACCACAGAGCCTGGTTAGGTTGTGGAGGGCAGGCTACAGCAGGTGCCCAGGGTGCGGATCCTCCTGAACCCAGATCCAGGAAGGTCTATAGCCCATGCTTGTCCCCAGTGCCTTTAGGCCCCTGTCCACAGAGCTGTTCATGTCGGGCAGGACAGCTGCCTCTAGGTTCCTCTTTCTGTCCCTGCTACAGCCTCGGCTTCCTGGTGCTGCCCTCTGGGGAAACCACAGCCATCCCTTCCTGGGAAGCCCGAGATGGGTTATGAGAGTCTCCTTCAGGGTAAACCAATCCATCTCCCATTGGCGGTCAGTGCCTTTTCAGTGCTAGTCCCCTCTTAGAGTGCTGCGAACTCAGAAGCTGTCCCTGTGGTCAGGGAGCTCACAGCCCAAGGGAGAAATCCCATCCTCTTCCCTAGGGACTGAGGCAGTGCCAAGATGTGGAGGAAAAGGGGAATTACTGCTCCCTCTTCCAGTCTGTCCCTGCCCAAAGGCTCCCTCCTCTCCACCAGTGTCCTCTAACCTCAGAGATCTGGGAGTGGGGTCAGGGAAAGGGGAAGGGAGGGGCGCGTTTGGTGCTGTCTCCTATAAAAATTCTGCAGCTGCCAGCCCGGCGCTGCTGGGGTTAATGAGCAGTCCAGTGACAGCCACTTTGAACTTTGGCCAGGCAGGTCCCTGAGGGGCCAGTGATGGCCACCCCCACCAGCCCCAGGCCTCTGCCAGCCCTTCAGGGACCAGACCAGCCCTCTCCTCCCCCAGCCCCCTCTCCTCCTCCCCACTGTCCCTTGCGCAATATTGCTGACTCCTCCTTGCCACCCCATTCCCAGAACTTTCAGTTTCCTTGGTAGATCTGCCCTCCTTGTGCCCCAGACCCTGACCCTGCGCTTCTCCCCCACCTTCTGTTTCTTGGATGTTCGCCCTGCATAGTTAGATATCAGAATGTCCCTGAAAGAATGGGAAAGACCTCTGCGGGGGAGCCCCTTCATTCCCGCCTCAAACTCTGGGGAGTCCCAACTCTGTGTGGGGGCCAGGTTCTGAGGCCAGAAGGGGGCGGGGGCAAACCCAGGAGAGGGACCACCACAGGCAGGTCGCACGCAGGCTGTGAGGTGGGGGCTCAGGGCATCCCCTGCCCTGCCTTGCTTGGGATTCCACAGCTGGCAGGACCTTAAGTTTCTGGGGTTTTTTTTAAGTTTACTGCTTCCTTAAGTGAGAGAGAGAGAGAGAGACCGCGCTCCCGCCAGGGTCCCGATGCCTCCATCCACGCCCGGCCTCTGCCAGCCCCAGATCACGGGCACACAGTATGTCCAGGCTTCCCAGGGAGGTCTCTGAACCACTGTGTCACTGTCAGAGCCCCTGAGCCCCGACGTTTGTCCCCTCAGGTCTGTCTCTCCCTCCCCAAGAGGGGAGCAGGCTCCACCTGCCCTTCAGGTGCCGCTTGAGGCTGCACAGAGTGAGCCGGATGTAGTGATGCCTCCTCTCCCCGCAACCTCACATGAACTTTGCAGTTGGTGTTGGGCGTCCCGGTCTCCTGCGCATTAGGGTTTTCTGCCTCAGAGTGAACTGGGCTTGAATTCAGCACAAAGGGCACCTTTCCCAGTCTTCCGGAGCAGAGAAGACCCAGCAGGCGGGTTTCAGGGGTGGGGGAACCCAGTCCAGACCAAGGTGAGGAAGAGAACACTCAGCAGAGTGGGGGCCAGGGGGAAAAGATATCCCGCTCTGACTTGGGTCAGAAAGGGCTCTCCCGGGCAGAGCGCCTGGCCCTCCCACACCTTCCTCCTTTCTCAGAAGAGGCAGTGTGGGGCGAGGGTGGGGCAGCTGGATTGGGGTGGGGACCCTATTTAAGGAGCTCTCTGGGCTAGCATTGCTGCAGATGCTGCCTGGCAGCGGGACAGAGGAGGCTTCCCGGTAAGTGCTGGCCACTTTCTCAGGATCCAAGCAGGAGTGGGGTAGGGGGCCTGGGAGCCTGGAGCCTGCAGGGAAGCCCCTGGCCCCTCTACCCTTCGGTTCACATCAGGACCCCCAGGAACACATCCAGGCAGGAGATGCAGACCCAGGGCCTGGGGACAGAATCCCAGCTATGGCTTAAGCTCTCTCCCTCAGACCTATTCCCATTCCCGCTGGCTGGAATTTAGGGAACCCCTGTCTCTTTCTCTAACTATGGACCCCTGTTTCAGCTCCAAGCTCAGACTATCCATGGGGTAGGAGGGATCTTGAGGTCCAGGTTCCCCACCTGAGCCACTCTGGGCCCCGCTTGCTCATCCTGGGAACGGGGAGAATGCGCAGCACAGAGCGCGGGAGGACAGCATCAGGGCTGAGGACCCCGGCCACCTGGCTCTGAGAACTGAATTCCATAGGCCGTGAGCTCCAGCAGATGCCCTAGGGACTCAGTTCTGGTGCCCGGCTGCGCAGTAGCATCAGTGCCAACACCGCGGGGAAGCTCTGGCACAGGCTCCTGGCGTCCCAGCCAGGTGCGCCTGCAGGCGTCTGTCACGCCCTGCTGGCCGCATCTTTCCATACCTTTGACCCGGACTCATGCAGAGACCTCCGTGGCTCCTCGGGTCTCCTCCTACTCTTTTTTTTTTTTTTTCCTTTTTTTTT